CCCAACCTTATTTAAAGTATACTTTTATGGGGAAGGTTTTAAGTGAATTGTGCTGTTTCAGAACTTCTGCTGTAATTGCCAACGAAAGCAGATTCTTAAAGAAAATACTTAGGGTTTCTAAAAGAAGGGGAAAATTGATTTTTCACTTGAGCTGCTTGTTGTAGGGAGAAGTTTAATGAAATCAGCTTTCTTTCATAAATAATGCAGCACTTGCATTTGATTATGTGAAGCCTAGAGGAATTTCTGCCTAATCAGATACATCGCAAGAGGGATATTGCCTGCAGACTGTTGCCATTACCGATGACGTGTGGGTGGAGGGGTCCATCCAGATGGAACGCTCCGTTTCATAAAAGAAGCTATAGGACAGTGTGTAAATTTGAACCGTTGACTCTCTGCATCTCAAACTGCGATAGCTATTTATAAAACAAAGTCTGTGTTCTGTGTGTTATTACTACTACTGGAGCACTGAGAGACCCCAACTGAGAGTAGGCACCGTACAACCATTGTAGGCCTTGTATAAACACCTGGGACGAGAAAGCCGCTGCCATGAAGAACTTACATTCTAAACAAGACAGACAGACAAAGGGTGACATTGGGCTACATTTTGAAAATCTTATTTTTTAAGAAATGCAAAATGTGCAGGTGTCTGTTTAATTTAAAAAAACAACAACACCCCAGCCTAGAACCCTTTTGTACATGCAAATGATTTGCAAACTTTGTGGGAATGTTTTTAAAGGCCTTTAATCGATTAAGCCATAAGGTGTAACCTGAGTGCAGGCTTATTGTGTTCTGTCAGTCTAGCTCAGGGCTATGTTCTAACCTCTCTTTTACTCCCCTAACATTGATACTGACAACATTGGAGTTCATGCACAGAAGTCAGATGGAGTGAGACCACGGTCCCCTTAGGGCCTGATTGTGTCCCTCCCTGCCCCCTTATTGCATTGAGTAGCACCTTACTCCTTGACTTCAATGGCACTACTTGCAGAGTAAGGTATTCAACATAACTAAGAGTGGCAGGATCAGACCCTTTCTCATGAACCCATTGAATACCATGTCATCTCATTACACGTTGGTTTTTCTCTGCTGCTGTCTCTTCTCCTAATGCTTGTTTGCATGTGGTGTGTGTGACAGTTCTTGTTTTCTATTGCTGGTAACATTACAAATGGCTTCGACAAAAGTGCTTTAAATTTAGGACCAAATCCTCAGCTGGTATAAATTGGTAAAGCTCCATTGACTTTAATGGGACTAAATCAATTCACACTGGCTCAGGAGCTGGTCCTCAGGGTATATTATTTTTTGTAAAGGGTCATATGACCATAAGTAAATCTAAAGCACATGAAGTACAGCATAGAACAGCTGGAAGAAGTGTGTGCATACTGTAATTTACTTCATTTGATGGCAGAGGCTTTAACGCAGAGTTCAAGTCCTTTATTTATGGAGCCGCTGGTAGGAGTTAAAGAGTTTAAGGATGAAACCAGCTCTGTATTTTTAACTTGGGTTTTCATTCCCTTCTAAATTTCCCCAGAAAATTCCCTTGGGGCTAAAATTTCATGTGAACACTCCTAGGCCAGAGGAGAATTTATTTCTGAAAGTTTGAGGGAAAAACACTAGTTAAAGGGCTGTAAAATGTTAATATATTTCTGACTTTTCCAATAATTGTCTTAAGTGCTTTTGCCCACTCATAACTCAAACACAACTTGGTGTCAGGCGTTAAAACTGCCTCATGCTTCGTGAGTACTGACTATAAAGTAATGCACAGGTTTGTTTTGAAGCAGAAATAGAAAAAAAAATGACCCAGAAAGTCCCTGAACTTTTTTCCAATGAAATCAATGGCAAAATTCCCATGGACCCGTATGGAAACAAAACTGAGCTCTAAAATGTCTGTCTGTTTGGTGGCTACCTTGAACCTTATCCCAGAGCCCCCTGTATGGAGTGGCAGCATAGCTGTGCCATCCCTGAAGCAGCCCAAGAAAATTGCTGTGACTTGATTCATCCCTACTGCCCCATAGTTCCTGGTGCGAGGAATTTCCTACAGCATCTATCATCTTGTGTCCGTTCAGTTCTGCTGGCCAGTACATTTGGGGGATGGACTCAGGGCTTCACTTGTTTTCCCCTTCCCCCCCATCCCTGCCCACCTGCTCATGGGGTGGATGTAGCAGCTCGGTAGAGCCTGCCCTTCCTCCCACACCCAGAGGGGGACTCCAGGCTGGTTGTGTGGGGAGATGATGGGCTTCCATGCCCCAGTGCAGCTGTGTTAGGGCCAGCCACAATTAGGTCCTTCATTTGTAACTCATTGTTTATACACCTCTACCTCGATATAACGCTGTCCTCGGGAGCCAAAAAATCTTACCACATTATAGGTGAAACCGCATTATATTAAACTTGCTTTGATCTGCCAGAGTGCGCAGACCCCCCCCCCCCCCCGGAGCACTGCTTTACCGCGTTATATCCGAATTCGTGTTATATCGGGTCGCATTATATCGAGGTAGCGGTGTATGTTAGAAGAAGCATTAGGGAAAAAGCCAACTGAATGAGAGGTAAATAAATGTACTGTTGGTGAATGGTGGTGCCGATGGACTATTTAGCTGTGCAAGATATAAGGGCTTATACATCCACGAACTGTCAAGTAAACTTTCGCAACTGAGTAGTTGCAGCAACCAAAGTCTCTCATGGATGAACACAAGATGCTGATCCGAACATGAGGAATGGTGACAGAATATTTAGCCATCAGTTATAGTATGACGGCAGTTAAATGACAGACTACGTTTTAAAAATGCATATGGTTGCGTCCAGGAAATACTTAGAGATCAATTACACAGCTATTAGTACCTGTACATTAGGGATTGTGGTGAAGGAATAAAATGATTTTGAGACATTTGATCATGCTTATTCGTAGAAAGTTACCTGTGTTTTCCACCAGAACCGCATCCCTAGTTGTTTGAGTTCCCTCATACCTTTCCAGATCCTCCCACAAACAGGCCCCTTGCCAGAACTGTTCATATGCCATAGACTCAGAAAGAGACTGGTGTAAAACTAGAATATAAAATCAGTAACAAAATACAAAAATGTTCCTGGTACTTAAGAAAAGAAAATCCCTGGGCTGTCATTCATAACATCATGAGAAAAGATGGGGTGAAAAATAGGGAAATTCCCAGATAAAGTCTTAAACTTTAAGTTAACGTTCTGTTTATGTCAGGCACTTATATGACCCTCATTACTATGGTATCTGAGCACCTACATCTTTAATGTATTTATCTTCATAGCACTCCTGTGAAGTTAGAGAGTAGTATTACCCCTATTTTACAGATAGGGAACTGAGTCACAAAGAGACTAACCACTGTGCCCAAGGTCATGTTGGAAGTCTGTGGTGGAACTTAGAATTCGAGCTGGGTCCCAGGCCAGCATCCTCACCCTTGGACCATCCTTCCTCCTTAGGGTTCATAACAGGGTTACCATATGTCCGAGTTTTCCCTGATATTATCTCTGATCTCCATCCAGGAGAATTTTTGAAACATGAACAAATGTCTGTGATTTTGAGCTGGGTGGCTGGAGTGCGGTGTCTGCTGGCAAGCCACCCAGCTCTGAAGGCAGCACCACTGCCAGCAGCAGCGCAGAAGTAAGGGTGGCATGGTATGGTATTGCTGTACCTTCTCCTTTCCCGCTCACCCTCCCTCCAGCAGCGTCCTCTATTTGGGAACTTGAAATATGAAAACCCTGGTTCATAAGTGATACCCCACTAGCAAAATCAGTTGTGAAAGAACTAGAGAGGGCAGGGCTGGAGAAGCAGCTGTGCATTGTTTAAACTAAACTTCAGTTTATCTGGATTAAAGCTCCCAAATCAGATTCTTATGAATTCAGGCAAAAAGGTGAGAAGAGGTAGGCAGAAAAAATAGCCAGAGATGAGAGGAAAAAACTATCTGGAAGAACTATGCCCAGCACAATAGGGCCCTGAAGTTGATTGGGGCTTCTGGGTGTTTGTTTATTTCATAATAATAATAATTAATAATAAACTTACACCTTCATCATCTTCTCTCTCTAGGAACCTGCATTTCAGATCTCACTTTTGACCACTTCATTTCTCACTTTTTAGGGAAACAAACAAACCAAAATACTGACTTAGGAGCCCAATTTCAATTGAGAGTTGAGATTGGTGTTGGACCACAAACTGCTGTGAATTCAGTGGAATTACACCACAGATGAATTTGACATGTTGTGCAATATTATTGCAACACAGAAAGGCTGAGTTAAGGCTCTATTTTGAACCGCTAATTTTTTACCATTCAGTTTATATATTAACTAGACGTTAAGGAGAATTCATACTCACAGGCAACTGTAAAAGCGTATTTCCAAAGTTTGATCATTTTGTTTTGTCTGGATAATGTTCTTCTACAGCTGATTTTGTAAGTGGGAAATGACTCCAATGACGTGTTTTGTTTTGAAATTGAGATTGTCCTGGAGTTTTGTTTCAACTTTTATTGGTGAAAATGGAAAAATGTTAGAAAGGGGTTTTTTGGTTTTTGTTGGAAACAAATGGGGAAAAAAATCAGAAATGAATGTTTCCCATGGAAATTTCCATTTTGATGGGAAAAAATGTGTCAAAAAAAATTATAATGAAAAATTTTGACCAGCTGTAACCACTCTTGTCTTCTGCTAGGAGGACAAGCTATGTAATAAACATCCTCCTTCACCCCAACTGCCAGGAGATCTATAAGAATAGGTCTGATTTGCATTTTTCTCTGGAGACTGAGCACATTTCCCCCCATCCCTTCTTTAGAACGGCTATCTTGCACATGATGTTTTTGCTCCAAGACTCCCAACTCTTTCTCAGCTGCTGCAGGGGAGGAGAAATACATCAGCATGGTTCAGAGGTTTATTTTCACTTACAGAAAGAAGAATAACTGCAATAGCCTCATCTGGTGTTGGGAAGAGAGAGTATTAAAGCTGATAGCTTTGTTTGTCAGTATCTGAATGACTGTGATTTGAAATGTCCCCTTTCCCAGATTGTATCCTCGTCATGCGAGTGCTCTGAACAACCTCGGCACGCTGACCAAAGACTTGGTGGAAGCAAAGGAATACTATAGAAGAGCTCTTCAGTTAAACCCACAGCATAACCGAGCTCTCTTCAATCTTGGAAATCTGCTCAAGTAAGTTTAACATTGAGGTCAAATGGCTTCAATAAAATTAAAATACTTCCCCCCTCCTCTCCCTACTGCCCTGTTGCAGCAGCAGATTGTCTACCCGATGGTAATGAAGAGTGATGTTAAGTTCTCACCGGCAGGCAGGACCCCTTTGGGTTTTAGGGCAGGGGTGGTGGCTGTTTTTTGGTTCTGATGTGCTGTTTGTTACTTTTTTTGCTAGCTGTGAGTTTACTTTTTGGGAAGACACGCCACTTTGGCTCAGACAGTCTTGCAAAGAAGCTAGCCAAAGAAAGAAAGTTAGCGATATTAGGCCAGATCCTCAGCTCCGTTAAGACGCCTTTACACCAGCCTGCTGGCCTAGAGGTGCTCGAAACCCAGTGTCTCCATCCATCGGCAGGATCCTCTGGTGACAGAGTGACAGTCGTGATCTGTATGTCACTCAGTCCCCCCACTCCCATCCTTGTGGTCAGCAAGTTGTGGGGGACATGACTGGTGGGAGGAGGCATGGTTGGGACATCCTTGGCCGCTGGGGCAGCTCAGTAGGGCTATGAGCTGCTTGTACAACTTAATACAGCCCTTAGGCTGTTCTAAATTGCACCAGGGAACTGGGGATCCAGAATCAAGGGAGCAAAGTTGGCTTAAGGCCATTTTTTGCCCCATTTGTTGCACCAAATGCTCCTCAGCCACAGCTCAGAGTCTGGCCCCTTGTTATGTTTTACATAACCCAAAAAGAGAGTGAGAACTGTGTTTTTCTCCGACACATTAGAACTCAGGCTAGGAACAAAGAGGCCAACACTAGAAACTTTTGCTAATATAGTAATGTCAGTTAATAGTGTGACTCTTTTTTAACAGCATTTCTATACCAGCAAAAGCTCTGGTGTGGCTGTTGTTTATACTAGCAGAAAAGTGCTTTTGTCAGTATAGCTTGTGTCACTTGGGGAACCAGTATAAACTATAGTGGCAAAAGCAGTATTTTTTTTCTCCGTGTAAGTTGCCTCTACAGTCTGAGGGTTTGCCAGTATAGCTATACCAGCAAACCTTTTCTAGTGTAGACCTGGCCTTAGTATTGGGTTGGTTACAAAACAACATCATCTTACCAAAACGTATTTTAGCTGTACTGTTCTAAATGTTTCTTTGAATAAGGCTCTGTATCAAAGGTAACAAAAGGCTACAGTACTTAAATTCTGCCTTGTACCGGCTGCATGTTATTGGTAATGGAGAATTCACTATGATAACCTTACCAGTCAGTGCCATTGGTTTGGACTGATATATGGAGAACAAGTCATTCCTGAGAAATAAAAGAGTAGGTCAATATTATATAGAACCATAGAAAGCACAAATTTGATCCAAAAGGCAAAAAGAGTTCTTGCATTATTCATTACAGTTGGCTGAAGTGCTCCTGAACTTCTGTGATCCCCAATTAGTGGGGACCATTCCTAAACATCCTAACATAGAGAAGCGCAAATCAGCCTCTAAGATCAAGGGGTGCATAAAGCCACATTTGCCCCCCCACCCTCAAATGCCCTAAGTCAGCCCATTATCTCCTATATCCTGACCAAGTTCTAACATGGGTAATTACATTCTTTCTGTTTTGGTTCACATCCCCTCTTAAAAACCATTGCACCGTGCAGCTGTTAAACAGGTGCTGTGTTCCATCCCAAGGCAGCTGCTTTAAAGCAGTGGCTATGTGAGTTCTGTAAAGTGCTTTTGAATCCTTCAGGTTAAGAAGTGCTATAAAAAGACAATTATTACTAAGACCATAGCCTTAGCGATATTGCAGCCTGTAATAAAGTTGCACTTAGATACACAGACTGATTCTCTGCTGCCTTGCACGAAGTACAGACATTTAAAGCTGTGCAAAGTGGGTACAAAACTCTGCCGTTGGTATAATGGAGAACTCAGATTTGATAACATTTTCTGCCCACTTTGCACAGGCATAAATGACTACACCAGGGAAGATCGGTGGAGAACCAGGCCTGCAATATTTAAAACATGGCTGTTAATAGTATTATTTACACTGGGACATTTGCAGAATTGACTCGGACTTCCCCCAGAATCATTTTTCAGAGTTCCTTACGTTTATATCTACTTGTTTTGGAGGAATCCTGCTGTGCACTTCATTAGATTGCACTCCCGCTGGAGTTTTGAGAAAAGGGAACTTCAGCATTTTGGAGGAATAAATTTGCTGTTAACATGTGGGAATCTGCCTCCCCTTCCCCTTTGTCTGGATAAACAGGTTATTTCCAGCTGTTCCTAGTGACCTGAACTTGAGTAAATTTGTTTTGGAATCCACAAGATGGAATCTTTTGGTTTTTCACAGTAGTCCCATTTAAAAAAAAAACTTTCCATTTTCCGTTTTGGCCAGAAGATGAATTTTCACAGGAAGCACTGCATGATAACAATGAGTTAATGAACCCCTGGTTTTGTTTACATACTCTAAAAGAAACTTGAATGGCATCATTTTCTTGCCTTGTATAAATATCAGACAGAGGATAGCTAAACCGTGCAAACAGCTTTCTCCATAAAAAAGCAATGACTAATAGACTCCCCTCCAATGAAAAATCACATCCCCATCCTTTTGTAGCTCAAAATGCCTCTTCCTTTGGGCTTAATATTTCTTTTAAAACTCTGCATCATGTAAATATTTAACTCGTGTCTATGGATGCTAAACCAAGATCCTTTCTCCTGGCTTTTGGTAGCTATCCAAGTAGAAGTTAAAAGATTCTGTGGCATTTTGTTGGTGAGAAGAGGATAACCCCTGTGGCTTGGCTGGTATATTTTCTATTGAGGAAAACCGGTTACTCTGTTAAGGTTGTGTGTGAGCCCCTACTGAGCGCACAATGGATCCAGTGTTTGTGCAGACATTGTTCTACCAGTATCTAATGCTTTACTTTATAAAGTCATTTGGGATATTTTGAAAGTAAAAAGTGCTATAGAAAACCAAACCCTCTGCTATTCTTTTCTCTGCCGGTGAAATTTATCCCAGCGCAGAGACCCCTCACAAGGCCCTATGAATCACTTACCCTCCATCTTATGGGTTTACGTGGTACCTCGGCCGCTGTGTGGGATGAATTTCACCCTCTCTGTATAGCAGTGAAGGTGGCCATTCATCTGGCTTTTGCCGTGATAGATAACGAATGCATAGAAAATAAGCATATCAAAAAATCCTCCCTTTGCACCGTACAACATGAGATTAAACAAATCATTTTTGAAATTAAAAAACTCATATGGCCTCCATCCTGTAAGAGGCTGAGCACTTTGGCTCTGAGCCAGGAAAGCATTTCAACACATCGTTGACTTTCTACTCATGTGCTTAAAGTTAAGCAGGTGTAAATGCTTGGCTGCATCGGGGCCAGAGTTCGCTGCTTCTTGCCGGGTTGAGCCCTGTTAGAGGTTGTTGTATCTGTTCTTTTAATATAATTCGGTCTGTCACAATAAAAAGATTCTGTAATCTTTTCCTCCTCCCCTTTAAGGAGACGCATTGTTCTGGGATCAAACAAAAAAGGGCTATTCAGAAAAAAAGAGTAATTAAGAGCGCATGCTTGCGGTTAATGGGACTTTTTACTGCTGTCAAGTGGATCACTTGATCCTTTTATTTCTGTATCTGGCATTTCCTACATTCCTGCCAAACCGTTGATAACTTTACAAAGCAGTCGTCTGTTTTCAATTTATATAAATGTGTCACGAAACTCCAGCCAAAGAATCCAAAAGTTTTCTAAATTGACAAACTACCTAGCCTTTAATTAGTAAGAGGGAAAGTGGTTCTTTATTTGGTTTTGCTTATTTGGGTAATTTAGATTGAGTACCACTTTAAGAAGGAAAAGACTAGCCCAACTGTTTTTACTTAACTTAAAGCACAGGGAAAATATTCTCTCAGTTATATAACTAGAAAGGAAAAAAAATCTGAAAAGCCACAAATATTATCAGCTGAAATACTGGCAGAGAGAAAGGAGGGTCAGGACAAAACTGGGAGGCAAGATCAAACCAGTATCTTAGATGCCTATATACAAATGCGAGAAGTATGGGTAATAACCAGGAAGAACTGGAAGTGCTAATAAATAAATACAACTATGACATTGTTGGCATCACTGAAACTTGGTGGGATAATACACATGATTGGAATGTTGGTGTGGATGGATACAGCTTGCTCAGGAAGGATAGACAGGGGGAAAAGGGAGGAGGTGTTGCCTTATATATTAAAAATGTACACACTTGGACTGAGGTAGAGATGGACATAGGAGATGGAAGTGTTGAGAGTCTCTGGGTTAGGCTAAAAGGGGTAAAAAACAAGGGTGATGTCATGCTAGGAGTCTACTACAGGCCACCTAACCAGGTGGAAGAGGTGGATGAGGCTTTTTTTAAACAACTAACAAAATCATCCAAAGCCCAAGATTTGGTGGTGATGGGGGACTTCAACTATCCGGATATATGTTGGGAAAATAACACAGCGGGGCACAGACTATCCAATAAATTCTTGGACTGCATTGCAGACAACTTTTTATTTCAGAAGGTTGAAAAAGCTACTAGGGGGGAAGCTGTTCTAGACTTGATTTTAACAAATAGGGAGGAACTCGTTGAGAATTTGAAAGTAGAAGGCAGCTTGGGTGAAAGTGATCATGAAATCATAGAGTTTGCAATTCTAAGGAAGGGTAGAAGGGAGAACAGCAAAATAGAGACAATGGATTTCAGGAAGGCGGATTTTGGTAAGCTCAGAGAGCTGATAGGTAAGGTCCCATGGGAATCAAGACTGAGGGGAAAAACAACTGAGGAGAGTTGGCAGTTTTTCAAAGGGACACTATTAAGGGCCCAAAAGCAAGCTATTCCGCTGGTTAGGAAAGATAGAAAATGTGGCAAAAGACCACCTTGGCTTAACCACGAGATCTTGCATGATCTAAAAAATAAAAAGGAGTCATATAAAAAATGGAAACTAGGACAGATTACAAAGGATGAATATAAGCAAACAACACAGGAATGCAGGGGCAAGATTAGAAAGGCAAAGGCACAAAATGAGCTCAAACTAGCTACGGGAATAAAGGGGAACAAGAAGACTTTTTATCAATACATTAGAAGCAAGAGGAAGACCAAAGACAGGGTAGGCCCACTGCTTAGTGAAGAGGGAGAAACAGTAACAGGAAACTTGGAAATGGCAGAGATGCTTAATGACTTCTTTGTTTCGGTCTTCACCGAGAAGTCTGAAGGAATGCCTAACATAGTGAATGCTAATGGGAAGGGGGTAGGTTTAGCAGATAAAATAAAAAAAGAACAAGTTAAAAATCACTTAGAAAAGTTAGATGCCTGCAAGTCACCAGGGCCTGATGAAATGCATCCTAGAATACTCAAGGAGCTAATAGAGGAGGTATCTGAGCCTCTAGCTATTACCTTTGGAAAATCATGGGAGACGGGAGAGATTCCAGAAGACTGGAAAAGGGCAAATATAGTGCCCATCTATAAAAAGGGAAATAAAAACAACCCAGGAAACTACAGACCAGTTAGTTTAACTTCTGTGCCAGGGAAGATAATGGAGCAAGTAATTAAGGAAATCATCTGCAAACACTTGGAAGGTGGTAAGGTGATAGGGAACAGCCAGCATGGATTTGTAAAGAACAAATCATGTCAAACCAATCTGATAGCTTTCTTCGATAGGATAACGAGTCTTGTGGATAAGGGAGAAGCTGTGGATGTGGTATACCTAGACTTTAGTAAGGCATTTGATACGGTCTCGCATGATATTCTTATCGACAAACTAGGCAAATACAATTTAGATGGGGCTACTATAAGGTGGGTGCATAACTGGCTGGATAACCGTACTCAGAGAGTTGTTATTAATGGTTCCCAATCCTGCTGGAAAGGCATAACGAGTGGGGTTCCGCAGGGGTCTGTTTTGGGACCGGCTCTGTTCAATATCTTCATTAACGACTTAGATATTGGCATAGAAAGTACGCTTATTAAGTTTGCGGATGATACCAAACTGGGAGGGATTGCAACTGCTTTGGAGGACAGGGTCATAATTCAAAATGATCTGGACAAATTGGAGAGATGGTCTGAGTTAAACAGGATGAAGTTTAACAAAGACAAATGCAAAGTGCTCCACTTAGGAAGAAAAAATCAGTTTCACACATACAGAATGGGAAGAGACTGTCTAGGAAGGAGTACGGCAGAAAGGGATCTAGGGGTTATAGTGGACCACAAGCTAAATATGAGTCAACAGTGTGATGCTGTTGCAAAAAAAGCAAACATGATTCTGGGATGTATTAACAGGTGTGTTGTGAGCAAGACACGAGAAGTCATTCTTCCGCTCTACTCTGCTCTGGTTAGGCCTCAGCTGGAGTATTGTGTCCAGTTCTGGGCACCGCATTTCAAGAAAGATGTGGAGAAATTGGAAAGGGTCCAGAGAAGAGCAACAAGAATAATTAAAGGTCTTGAGAACATGACCTATGAAGGAAGGCTGAAAGAATTGGGTTTGTTTAGTTTGGAAAAGAGAAGACTGAGAGGGGACATGATAGCAGTTTTCAGGTATCTAAAAGGGTGTCATAAGGAGGAGGGAGAAAACTTGTTCACCTTAGCCTCTGAGGATAGAACAAGAAGCAATGGGCTTAAACTGCAGCAAGGGAGGTCTAGGTTGGACATTAGGAAAAAGTTCCTAACTGTCAGGGTGGTTAAACACTGGAATAAATTGCCTAGGGAGGTTGTGGAATCTCCATCTCTGGAGATATTTAAGAGTAGGTTAGATAAATGTCTATCAGGGATGGTCTAGACAGTATTTGGTCCTGCCATGCGGGCAGGGGACTGGACTCGATGACCTCTCGAGGTCCCTTCCAGTCCTAGAATCTATGAATCTATGAAATTTGCACCTTATAAACAAGATCTGGTTTCTTGGCCATGTCGCCCAGATGAAATCCAAGGCTAAGGTTGCAAGCTTTTCACATATTTCCCATACTTCAGAGTCCTTTGTTTCTTTTCAAAGGCTATGATGTTCATATTACTTTGTGCACCCAACACAAAGAAAGCTTGTTGGCTCAGTCCATAGCACGCACCCAGGGAAGCTGCTCCCTTTTCCAAGGCGAGAAATACAGTAAACCCCTCCACTGCAACATTAGGCTTTCCACAACCATCTCTGGCCATGCCCTTCCTAGGAGCAGAATCAGGGACTCTCCCCAGCCCAGCAATGGTCAAGATGCTTGAGAATGAAGTTAGTGATATTGGGCCGTCAAAAACATGAAAATATAGTCCACTTAAAATGTATACGTTGTTTAATTAAATCGTGACACTGTGCCCATATAACACATTTTTATCTAAGGATCTCAAAGCACAAACAGCTTTAAGGTTCGTAAAGCCCTTATGGAATATGTAAGTTTTATTGTCCCCATTTTGTGGATGGGGGAAACAGAAGCAGAGAGAGGTTTCCCATAAGTGACCTATTCCAGGTGAGTCAGCGACAGACATGGGAATAGATCCCAAGAGTCCTGACTAGCAGCCCACTGTTCTAACCCTAGACATTTCTTCCCATAAGGCAAGTGACTTCCTAATGGCTTCTGTGGGAGAATCCCATGTCAGGGGTAGTTCATTGTGCTCTGATGAAATTTTCATTAGCTTGCCTTTGACTTATATCTAACTCATGACCAGGGTTCTGCTGGATGAGTCAGAGTTTCACAGATTTGTCCTCTTCATAGACTCCAGAATTAAAGACAAATGTGGCTGGAGTTCCATAATTTTATAAACAATTATGTTTGTAGTTTTGCAAGTTGAGAATATGGCATGTACTGATCACTGTGTAGACAGAGTGAAATGTTTTCATGCCATGTAGAGTACTGCAGGGTTGGCTATCTGCATTATGACTTATCTGTTTTGCCTTCATCTGAAGCATCAGATAATGGCCACCACTGTAAGCCAGACTACCACAGTAATGGAGCCAAAGGTCTGATCCATTAAGGAAAATCCTGTTGGCTCCAAACTCCCTTATATGAGAGTAACCTGCATCAGAGAAAGGAGATGCTGTGAGTTGAAACTCTCAGAATTTCCGGGAATATTTTTGTCCATAGTGGGCAGATTTTCTGCTCCCACAGAAGAAACCAGAGGTTGGGTTCCCTTAACCTAAAGATCGTGAGACCTACACATGATGTAAAGGATATCTGAGTGGATGCCTCTTGCCTCCCCTCTACCACATGGCCTCACTGGATTATTGGCCCTTATAGAGCTGACTCCTGAAGAGTCAAAGTCGTGTTTTGCGTGGCTTCCTCAATCATGGCTGGTTCTAGAACCTTCCCTGGCCTCCCCATCTAAAGAGAGAAGGCGGTTTTATACCATGGAAGGGGAAACAGCACAAATTAACAAAGCATCATGCTGTATTTTGGTTTACTCCACACCTGTCAAAAGGGGAATAACCAGAGGAGCTCAGCCAACTCTCATGCCCCTCTCTGCCAACTCCAGAGCTGGAATGCTGCAGGAGTTGCCAGTGAAGGGCTGCTGCAGAGGTGAGACCCTATATTTCCATTTCTTAAAGTGATTTCTTATCTCTTCTCAAATCCCTCGGAGAGTTTCCTGGTAGGTTTGTCCAGTTGATGTCAGCAATTACTGTGAAAACAGGCCCTACTAAAGACAACGTGTTTGGGGGGGGGGAGGCATGCGGGGTCATGTGCCCCCACTTTTGCTGCTCACACAGACTGAGCGTGCTCGGTAACATCTTGTGACGTCACTGCCCTCATTCTGCCCCCCCATCCCCAACGGCACGTACGAGTTGTCTCCCCCCTTCTCCCCTGCCTCCCCCCACCCCAAATATATAGAGAAGTGCTGTAGGCGGAGAAGAATGTTTGTGTTGAACTTGTATATTTCCCAGCAAGCTATAGAAATCCATACAAGGAATCTGCAGGTGCCAAGGTACAAACTTACCATGTCGCCGATAACTTCAGTTCTTCACTTCTCCTCCCGCTGACAGAGAGGCTATGGAATTCTATATTGCCTCGGGAGATTCTGGTTACCGAGACTGTGGCTAGAAGCCAGAGTTAATTAGTTAGTCTTTGTTGAAAAGAACAAGACAGGGACTTTCAAGTCTCTTTAAAGTATTTAATCAATAGGTGACCTAAACATGTTGTTAAAAGAACTTTGTTTCTTTTATGACTTGCAGGTCCCAAGGGAAGAAAGAGGAAGCTGTGTTCTTATTGAGAGATTCCATTAAATACGGTCCAGAGTTTGCAGATGCTTACTCAAGCCTTGCTTCCCTGTTGGCTGAACAGGTAACCAGTAACATTTAGACTTGGGTAGCTCATTCCTTCTATGCACGATGCATTGATGTTACCTTTTGACATGTCTAATTCTCCTCCGAATACAATAAAAACTCTCTCACCAATACATGAGAACGGCCATTCTGGGTCGGACCAATGGTCCATCCAGCCCAGCATCCTGTCTTCTGACGGTGGTCAATGCCAGATGCTTCAGAGGGAATGAACAGAACAGGGCAATTTCAAGTGATCCATCCTCTGTCATCCTGTCCCAGTTCTGGCAGCTGAAGGTTTAGGGACATCCAGAGCATGGGTTTGCATCCCGGATCTGTCCCATCCCTATCATATATCTATTTTTAAAAAATGTATTCTTCTTCGAGTGATTGTTCACATCCATTACACATTAGGTGTGCACGCATCGCGTGCACGGACGTCGGAAACTTTTTCCCTCAGCAGCTCCCGTCGGGCCGGCAGGGTCCCCCCTCCCGCCAGAGCGGCGCCCCGCTCTAGCGTATATATATCCCTGCGGGCCCGACCCTCCCTCAGTTCCTTCTTACTGTCCGTGGCGGCGTTGGAACAACTCTGTCTCTCGTCTGAGAGTGTCCCTTAGCGTAGTAGTTAGTGTTAATCTTAGCAGTTATCAGTTCTTTAGTGGCTAGTGTTAATCATAGCAGTTATCAGATCTTTAGAAATACTTAAGCTCCTCTGTCACGAGGCGCTCCTCCTATGGGACTTCTGTATAGCCCATTCAGTCCACCTACTCGCAGCATATCTCCCAGGGGTCCAAAACGGGTTAGCGGACCGCCTCAGCCGGTCCTACCACATGCACGAATGGACGCTGAGAGAGGATGTCCTACACTCAATCTTCCAGAGGTGGGAGTTTCCCCAGGTGGATCTCTTCGCCACCAAGGACAACAGCCAATGCCCTCAGTTTTGTTCATTCCAGAACCTCAGCCCGGGCTCAGTAGCAGATGCCTTCGCGATTCCGTGGAGCGGGAGCCTGAGGTATGCCTTCCCACCATTCCCGCTCATCCACAGGGTCCTGCTCAAGACCCGCAGGGACAAGGCGACAGTCATCCTCATCGCACCGGTGTGGCCACGCCAGCACTGGTTCCCGACCCTGCTGGAGCTGTCCGTGACCGCCCCGATCGCCCTCCCCCTCCATCGCGACCTCATCACACAGGACCGGGGTCGCCTACTCCACCCGAACCTACCGTCGCTACATCTCACGGCGTGGTATCTCTCTGGCTAAACGATACGGAGCACAGGTGCTCCCACCAGGTCCAGCAAATTCTTCTTGGTAGTAGGAAGCCCTCCACAAGAGCGACCTACCTTGCCAAATGGAAGAGGTTCTCCCACTGGTGTGAGCCTCATCACATATAGCCTCTGCAGGCCTCCGTCCCATCAATTCTGGACTACTTGTTGCACCTCAAGCATCAAGGGCTCGCCCCCGCCTCAATTAAAGTGCATCTGGCTGCCATATCGAGGTTCCACCCTGGAGAGTTGGGAGTTTCGGTGTTCTCCAACCCCACAGTAGTCCGATTCCTCAAGGGGCTGGAGAGGGTGTTTCCCTACTCGCGCCCGCCGGTCCCTGCATGGAATCTTAACCTGGTCCTAACTAAACTCATGGGGCCACCCTTTGAACCCCTAGCCTCTTGCTCCCTCATGCACCTCTCATGGAAGGTAGCGTTCCTAGTGGCCATCACATCGGCTAGGAGGGTATCGGAATTAAGAGCCCTCACTTCAGAACCTCCTTATACGTTTTTTTATAAGGATAAGGTGCAACTGAGGCCGCACCCCAAATTCCTTCCTAAGGTGGTCATGCAATTCCATATGGGACAGGACATTTGTTTACCGGTGTTCTTCCCTAAGCCCCATACGGACCCAAGCCACCGCAGCCTACATACCCTCGATGTCCGTAGAGCCTTGGCATTTTATCTAGAACGGACCAGGCCATTCCGCAAGTCGACGCAACTGTTCATTGCCATTGTGGAGAGAATGAAAGGCCAGCCTATCTCGGCGCAACGCTTGTCAGCATGGATTGTGCTTTGCATACGCACATGCTATGAGCTAGCCAACGTACCAGCCCCGGAGATCAGGGCTCACTCGACTAGGGCCCAAGCGTCCTCGGCAGCTTTCTTGGCGCAGGTTCCACTCCAGGAAATCTGTAAAGCGGCCACCTGGTCGTCAGTGCATACGTTCACAGCCCACTACGCGATCCATCATCAGACCAGAGAGGACGCGGTGGTCGGTTGGGCTGTGCTTCAATCAATTGTTCCTTGACTCCTACCCTCCTCCTATGGTAAGCTTGTGAGTCACCTAATGTGTAATGGATGTGAACAATCACTCGAAGAAGAAAAAACGGTTACCTACCTTCTCTAACTGTTGTTCTTCGAGATGTGTTGTTCATGTCCATTACACTCCCCACCCTCCTTCCCCTCTGTCGGAGTCACCAGCAAGAAGGAACCGAGGGAGGGTCGGGTCCGCAGGGATATATATACGCTAGAGCGGGGCGCCGCTCTGGCGGGAGGGGGGACCCTGCCGGCCCGACGGGAGCCGCTGAGGGGAAAAGTTTCCGATGTCCGTGCACGCAACGCGCGCACACCTAATGTGTAATTGACGTGAACAACACATCTCGAAGAACAACAGTTACAGAAGGTAGGTAACCGTTTTATTCTGTGAATATCTGGGTATGACAGCTGGTGTATTCTAGAATAAATTGCTTCAGTATGGCAAACCCACTTTGAGATAGTAATTTGATTGAGCTGATTTGAGGTTATGTTAGTACACTGTGAACTCTTTTAATGTAATTTGAAAGCTTTCCAAGTTATTGAAGTTATAGAGAAATCATGATCTATTACATAGTGCATCTAGAGTGTGATAATAGGCAAACTATATAATACATTACATACAAAAAACCACAGCATTTAAAAGAACATTATTAAGGGTGCAAAGTCAAGCACTCAAAAGTTAGGAAGTGCCAGAATTAAGGTTGCCTGGGCAACCTTAATTCGGTCCCCCTTCTTCATCTGTATTATGATTCAGTCTTTAACTACATGATCACGTACTGTTTTTACACAAGACCCCTGCTTCACTCAATGCACAGGGTGCATGGTCCTCACTTAATGCGCAGCTGTTCAGTGTTTTGTTTTCTCCCCAATGCGTGGTCCTAGGCCTGCTTATTGCACATTGTTCAAACCCCGTTTCGAAGACAGAATTATTAATTTCCTCCTGGGCTTTTCTACTGCGCTCATCACTATAATATCTGAGTGTTTCACAAATATTTACTTTTTTTTTTTTGCAAAATACTCCTATGACATGAGTGGGTTTTATCCCCATTTTACATATGGGGAGCTGAGGCACAAAGAGATTAAGGTCAAAAGTATCCACTAATTTTGGGTGCCGAATCTGAGACTTTCAGTACCTGATTTTTTAGAGAACATAGCATCATATATCACTTTATATGTTCAAAATGCTGCTCCCATTGATTTCACTTGCAACTGAGAGTGCTCAGTGCTTCTGCAAATCAGATCCCAGGATCTTAAGTTGGACACTCTGAAAATGAGAACACGCAATTAGTGCCCATCTGTGAAAAGTTGAGTTTCAGTGACTTCAGCATCACATATGAACTCTGTGGCAGAGACAGGACTAGAATATAATTCCCCAAGGCAGCATTCAGCTGCCTTAACCATGAGCTTGTCCTTTGTCTTCCTACAATCCCCTGCCTCATTCACTACACACCTTCCAACTTTTGCAACAAATAAGGCAAGGGTACAACAGACAACAATTTCCTTCTCTCTACAGTCCTCATTCATCCCTAGGGCAGGTCCATCCTGTGCACTGAATAAAGCAGGGGTCCTGTGGAAAAAGTAGCTTGTGACCATGCAATTAAAGACGGTCTCATAATGTGTACAGAAAAGGGGGCCAAATTAAGGTTGAAAGGGCAGCCTTAATTCAGGCATTTCCTGACTTTTGAGTGATTGACTTTGCAGCCTTAATGATGTTCTTTTAACAGAGCTTTTTGTGTGCAATTTTTAGGTTTTTTTTTTTTTTAAGCAAACTGAAAAAAACAAAAATTCTATCATGTGGCATCATATTGACACCCACCTGGGTCATTGTCATTGTTGGAAACCTTACATCCACAGAACAGAGCTCCGCCATCTGAATTAATGGAGTAACTGATAGCAGTAGTATATTGTTGTCCTCTACGTGGACCAAGAATAGAGGGAAATGAAACACACACTTTGTCAGTGGGTTTTGCAGAGATTTGCTGACAGCAGAGGAATGGTGAGACTCAGGAATCTTGGGTTCTGTTCCTCTCTGGAAGGAAGTGTTCTCTAGTGGGCACAGACTCTTCTGCTCATTCTCTCTGAGCTTGACCCAGTCTGCTCTGTTCCCTCTAGCCTTTCCCGGCTTTGACCAGCCATTCCCACCCACCAGTACCTTGTCCCCAGTCTCTTTGCCCATCCAATCTCAGTTCACCCCCTCCAGGCCCTTACCTGATCTGTCTCTTCCCCCTGTCTCAGGTCTTCAGTTGCCCTCACCTCCCCTCCCCCCATTCCCCAGCCTCACTGATTTCCAGCCCCAGTCTCCTTCCCTGGGCTGCTCGTCCAGTCTCCTCTCTGTGCCCCCTGCTCCCGTTTCCCACCAGCTCTATCTCCCAGTCTCTTTGCCCAGTCAGACCCAACTCTGTCCCCCCAACCCCCAAAACTTCTCATTAGATTTGTCCCCTCCCTCCATTTCATTTCTTCTGCCCAACTGGTTCCCAGTTCTAGTCTCCCACACCAGCTCCTTTCCTGGTTCTTCTCTCCCTCCCTCCCTCTCACTTTTCCCTCTCTTTCTCCCAGTGCTGGTCTCCTTTGAGGTCAGACTAGATCAGGGGTAGGCAACCTATGGCATGCGTGCCAAAGGCAGCACACGAGCTGATTTTCAGTGGCACTCACACTGCCTGGATCCTGGCCACTGGTCCGGGGGGCTCTGCATTTTAATTTAATTTTAAATGAAGCTTCTTAAAC